GCTTTGGAGACCAGGCTGGCCTCGAACTCACAGAGATCCACCTGGCTCTGCCTCCCGAGTGCTGGGATTAAAGGCGTGCGCCACCACCGCCCGGCTGTTTTTTGTATTTTAAATCAGTAACTACACATTTGTTTTTAAATTTTAAATTTTAAATTTTTTGAGACTGCATCTCATTACATAGCCCTGGCTGGCCTGGAATTCACTATGAAGACCAAGCTGGCCTCAAACTCAAAGAATTCAGAGTTGTCTCGTGAGTGCTGGGATTGAAGGTGTGTGTCACCACGCCTGGCTGAGATGCATTTTTTTTCCATCCATCCAAATCATCATTTATGTATTTATTTCTCCTCTAATACGTTCATAAAGTAAAATACACTTGTTTATCTTAAGTATATTTATTTATTTATGTGTATGTATATCTGCCACACTGAAGCCAGAAGATGGTGTTAGATCCCCTGGAGCACTCAGGAGGTGACAGGTGGTTGTGAACTGCTCAAGCTTAGCCCCTCCGCAAGACCAGGACAGGCTCCTAATCAAAAAACTAGTAAAGCCATAGCCGGACCTGAAGTTTCTCAGGAGGCAGTCAAGTCTAATGGGAGGTGCACAGGCTCTGAAGGCAGATTCCAAGAATTCCAGACCACACTCACATTTCCTTGAATTCTTTAGACCTCTCGCTCTCTCAGCTAGTGGATGTAAAGCAGAAACACACAATCTTTGTACAGCACAATAATAGATTTTGTATGCCAGGGTATCTGACATTTGCAAAAAAAAAAAATTGATTTCAACATAGGATATTGGAAAGGGGGAGGTAAATACAAATTTTTACTTTAATAAAAGCAACAGAACATAGACAATGACTAATTCTAGACCTAAGAGAAAGGAAGCAAAACCTAAGCATGTATAAGAAGTTTAAAGGTAGCTACGGAGCTGGAGAGATGGTGCAGGAGGAAGTTTGTCCTGCTCTGCCGCAGGACCTGAGTTCAGTCCCCAGCATCGGCTTTTCATTTTCCCCAGCCGAAGTGCATCTTCAAGACCGACTCTCTTCTTTCTGTCGTATTGGAAATTAGGTTGGCCAGGCATCTTATCCTAGACTCATATCTGTTTTCATTGAGAATTTTCAGTCCTCCCTCTCCCCAGATAGTGTCTCATGTACCCCAGGCTGGACTAGCTTACTATGTAGCTAAGGATGGCCTCGGACTCCCAAGCCTCCTGCCTCTACTTTGTTTATAGATGTGGGCAATCATGTCTAGTTTTATGTGGTGCTGGCCGTCAAATCCAGGGCTTTGTGCATGCTAGACCAGCACCCCAACTGAGTGTACCCCCAGCCCACATTTCAGTCTTTTGACTAGTGTTCAGTGTTGTTAATAAAAAAAAGAGCTGAGTCGGGCGGTGGTGGTGCACGCCTTTGATCCCAGCACTCAGGAGGCAGAGGCTGACCGATCTCTGTGAGTTTGAGGACAGCCTGGTCTACAGAGTGAGTTCCAGGAAAGGCGCAAAGCTACACAGAGAAACCCTGTCTCGAAAAAACAAAACAAAACAACAACAACAACAACAAAAAAAGAGCTGATGTCATTGCTTACCTTTTAGAATGTCTACCTGCTCCTCTGCTCCCTCCCCCACATCACTGGAGCCCCTCCCCCAGTGTTTTTATCTTGGCCTATGAGTGTTGATTCATTTCTGAAGAGTTCAACCCCAAGGCCGCATGTCAAAGCAAGAGCCACCTACCCCGAGCTAACCCCAGCCCCTCCGGATTTTCTCGTCACTTTATCTTTTCATCTTATTAGTAGACAATTCCATACAATGTATTTTGATGACATTTACTCCTTCAACTCCGCCCGGATCTAACCCCACTTCCCTACCCACCTCAAACTGTCCTTTAAAAAAACCCTCAGACACCATTTGTACTGCCCAGGTACTCTTGGTCGTGTGGCCTTCCAGTGGTGTGTGGTGACTGCTGGGGCCACCCCCTCAGAGAGGACAGGCTCTTCCTCTCCCGTCAGCTGTCAGTTGCCATTAGCGTCCCAGCTAGGGTGGGACTTCTTGCCCACCTCCGCGCTCTGAGATTTTGCCTGGCTTGAGTTCCACGCGTCTTGTGCATGTGTCCCATGCTGTTGGCTCATAGGCGCCCTCCTCCTATTTTAAAACCTGAGCGGCTCACACAGAAAAGTACACACATGTGGGGTGGACAGCGTTTGTAGCCACCAACCAGATAAATAGAATATGTCAGCACCCCCCCCCCCCACGTCTATTCTGACTGGACCTCTGTAGGAAAACGTGCATGTTCTTGCTGTAATCGGCATCACACGGTCCTGTTATTTTATGTCTGGTGGGAGCCACGTTTTAATGTTCTTTTCCAAATAGAAACTTGAGGAGAAGCTAGAGTTCTGGATGGAGAAATTTGATAAAGATACAGAAGCAAAACAGAATGAGTTAAATGCTCTCAAGGCTGCCAAGGCCACCGACCTATCACACCTTCAGGACCTTGCCAAGACGGTAAGGGGTGGTAGTGGACTCCCAGGGAATGAGTGGAAGCCAGCGAGGGGCTGGGGAAAACTTTTTAGCCAAAAGTAGAGGTGTGTCTGTAAACCAGTGGGACTCGGATGACAACGACAGGATGTTTTTTGAGCCATCCACTTGATGTGTGGAGCAGGCTGGCCTTGGCCTTGCAGTATCTTCCTGCCGCATCCCCTGGCGGAGCAGGCTGGCCTTGGCCTTGCAGTATCTTCCTGCCGCATCCCCTGGTGGAGCAGGCTGGCCTTGGCCTTGCAGGAGTCTTCCTGCCCGTGTCCCCGGTGTTGCGGGATCTCTGGTGTGCGGGGCTGGTTGCGCTGTGACGACTGGGCTCCCTGTGTACCGTGTGCAGATCCGGGAGTATGAGCAGGTCATCATTGAGGACCGGATGGAAAAGGAGAAGACCAGGAAGAAGATGGAGCAGGATGACCTGGAGCTGAAGAGCATCGTGAAGGTAGGATGTGCGCGGGGGCGGGGGCGGGGGCAGGCGGGCCGTCAGGGTGGGCATGGAGGGAGTGGGGGGTAGACCGCAGGCGCTCCGCAGCACGCGGTGGGTGCAGGCAGACAGGTGACAAAGGAAAGGACAGTCCCGGCTCCGGCCTGGGCAGAGGAGGTGAGCAGTGGAAGCGAAGCCTCTTTCCAGCCATGACATCTGAGGAGGGGACTCCGGTGTAGGCAGGATGCTCCCGGATGCCCTGCCCCCCTCCACATCCGGTTGTAAGTTGTTGTCTGCTGCTGTCCAATACAAGTTGCTTAAAAAAACAAACAAACAAACAAAAAACAAAACCAAAAGGTGGAAGGGACATGCAAATTGGAAAAAACAAATTTAAAACTTCTTTTAGCTTACTATTTTTTATTTATTGAGACAGCGTCTTTCTCCATAAGCCCTGACCGACTGGGACTCACTATGCCTGTAGCCTACCATGCGCCTTTCACCTCAGCCTCCTGAGTATCTGGGAATATAGATGTGAGCAATCAAGGCCCAGCTGAGATAGAATATCTCACAAACATTTTATGTGAACTTGCAAATATTAATAATGACATGATCAAGTCCAGATTCTGGAAAATATTTTTAAGATTCATTTTTACTGTAATTATGTAAATGTCCGTGTGTCTGTATGTGGGTACGTGCACTCATGTGCATCTGAGGCCCGGAGAGGCATCAGGTCCCTTGGAGCTGGAGTTACAGATGGCTGTGAACTTCCAGATCTCGTGGATATTGGGAAACTAACTCAAGTTATCTGCAAGACCTTATGTGCCTGCCCTTAACTGCTGGATCATCTCTCCAGTCCCTGGAAAAATGTTTAAAGCAAAAACTGTAAGGCAAAGACAGCAGCTGGTTTGAAAAACACTGCCTGGAAGGGCATCCTTCAGGGGCCCTACGGGAAGAGCATCCTTCAGGGGCCCTGCGGGGAACGAATTTGAGATGTAGAGGAGGAAGCAAGTTCTGCCTGTGTAGTTCAGGCTGGCTGTGAACACCACTGATCGTGTGCTGGATTACAGGTGTACGCCACCATACAAGGCTGTGTTCTCTTCCGTTTTTGTGGTACTGGGTTTTGAGCCCAGGGCCTCTAAGCGTCTCACCACTGAGCTACAACCACAAGTCCAAAATGAGAGCTTTAGGGTACTTTCCGGGCCAGGTATCCAAACTCATCATTGATCTTCCTATTAGGAACATTTAGTGTATAATTAGCAAATGTTGGTCCAGCTTGTTATGTTTTCTGTCTGTCAAGATTCCATTCAGAGTGAAGAACTGAGCAGACTGCTTTTGTTCTCACTAGTGGATTCACATGCTCTCAGTAGGCAAGGCGAGGCTGACTTTATAACTTAGATTGTTCAGAACAGTTGCATCACACAGACATTCAGGGGACTTGTAGCTGCTCCCTAAAGATGCGATACACCGTGAACCACTGAGACGTCTCAGCTTGACCCTCAGTGCAAGCAGCTGACATTCATTCCCTTTACAGCCAGTGGCTGTGAGGTGTGAGGTGTGAGGTATTCACCCAAGGAGCAAGCCCTGAAGTGTTGGGGCTCTAAGTCTGACAGAAAGCGGAGCCCAGCACACTGCATTCTCACTCTCGGCCAGGAGCAACAGGGTAGCCATACTGACAGCAGCCTGGCCACTGCTATGTCTCAGAGATGCTCCTTAAACACTAACGACCGCGGGTTCCCTGTGTAGCAAGAGCACAGTGCTGTTGGGCGCATTGAGATGAACTGCTTCCCTTCTCTCTTCCAGCTCCAGGCCTGGTGGCGAGGTACAGTGGTCCGGAAGGAAATTGGAGGTTTCAAAATGCCCAAGAAAGAGAAAGATGACGGCAAAGATTCCAAAGGCAAGGAGAAGGATAAACGGAGAGGCAAGAAGTGAAGAGTGACAAATGCCTGTTGTCCTTTTGTCTGGTCTCGAGACATCAGTGATGAAGACCTTCACCCAGGACGCCTAGGGAGGTCACCAGGCCTGTTACCCTCTTAATCAAACCCCGAATGGGGGCTATACCATGGCTGTAGGGCTTCTTCAGACTGTGGACTTGGGGGAAGACACGTTGAGTAGCTTTGTGAACATTCTCATCAGAAAACAGTTCATCAGCTTACAGTGATGTACTACAAACGTGTAATATTTGATTCTGATTTAATGCCCTATGATTAAAGTGAAAACTGTTATAAACAAACGTGAGAATTCAGTGGGAATATAAGGTTATCACTTAGCATAGTATGTATGCACATGGTAGTTAATAAACTTTGGTTCTTGACTGTCTCACAGGGCTTCATCAGTCTAGGGTTGGTGGTATCGGGGTATGGCATCTAATATACCTCTTATATAAGCTGCTCCGGCAACTTTTCTGGGGACAGATAGAGAAGGAAGTGGCCAATGTGAGAGAGATGGAGTGGGGATACACAGTCCTCTAGTGGTACAGATGGGACATGGGTCCTGGGTTAGTTCAGAGAGATTTTGGCCAAGTGAGACACAACTATGCCCATCATCTGGGCTCTTACAACTTAAAGAAACAAGATAGGTGAAACCGGCCTGTGCGGCATACGGCAAAGTTGGTTTGCAGCCTTCCCTTAAACCAGCAGTCTACTCACTGGCTCATTGCTGCTGTGACCAGTCAATAGGGAAGGCCTTGGACCGCTAGAGCTTTCGGCTGGGCGCAGCTGGCTCACATATCTCCACTCCGCCGCTGCCCTTCTGTGTGTGTGTGTGCATGCTGTGTGCTGACACTCATGCGGGGTTCAGGACAGCTCCGCGGACTCGGTTCTCTCCACCTTTCTGTGGGTTCTTGGGCTCAAATTCAGGTCACCAGGCTCATCTTGGAACTTGCTGTGTAGACCAGGCTGGCCTTGAATTCGGAGATCTGCTTGTCTCTGCCATCTGTGTACTGGGATTAAAGGCGTGCGCCACCACGCCTAGCTTGTTTCTTTAAAAGTATTTAGTGTGTGCATGCAAACATGTATACATGTGCATGTTACAACTCATGTGTGGGGGTCAGTGGGGCACAGCTTTCAACAGCTGTCTCCTTCGGGTCCCTGAGATTAAAGTCAAGTCTTGGGGCTTGGCAGCCAGCCCCTTTACCTGATGAGCCATCTCACTGGCCCTCAACTGGGTATTTCTGAGAGGAAAGTTACCTTAATGTGTCTTATGTCTTAATTCACGAATTAGACCCTTTTAACTTTTTGAGACTTCATGCAGCTCAAGTTGGTTTCAAACTCACTATGTAGTCCAGGCTGGCCTTGAACCTCCTGCCCTGTGTCCTAAGTGCTAGGACTGCAGGTGTTTATGCAGTGTGGGAATGGAACCAGGACTTCATGCACGCCAGTAGGCACACTACGACTGCACCATAGTCCCACCTGAGTCAGCCATCTAATCCTGCTGCCGTCCACGCTACCTCACTACCTGTGCCTCCTTAAGAAGTGGGTGTTGTCGCCAGGCAGTGGTGGTGGTGGTGGTGGTGGTGGTGGTGGTGGTGGTGGTGGTGGTGGTGGTGGTGGTGGTGCACACACCTTTAATCCCAGCACTCAAGAGGCAGAGCCAGGCGGATTTCTGTGAGTTCGAGGCCAGCCTTGTCTACAGAGTGAGATCCAGGACAGGCACCAAAACTGCACAGAGAAACCCTGTCTCGAAAAACCAAAAAAAAAAAAAAAAAAAAAGTGGGTGTTAATCTCAAAGGCTGTTTTAACAAGAGTCGTCCCCTAGTGAGCCAGCCAGACGGAAGCCCTTTCCTTGACTTGTCTTTGCTAAAGAAATAAGTTTTAGGCTTGAACATTTGCAAGTGTTTATTTATTACATGCTGCTGATGTATTGGCTTTTATTTTAATGTCCACATATAAGATGGCATACAGGCAACTTAAAATAACATACACAGTATCGACATATTTATACTTAAAACTTACACAGTGTATTTACAGACATACAAATATAGGACAATGTTTACAAAACCTTTTACTAATTACATGTGTGTAACATTTCAGAAGTCAAATCTGCTGTAAGCACCTCACTGCAATGTGTATACAAAAGGCTTCTACACAACGAGTTTTCCTTCATTTCTACAACCATCTAAATACTTAGCTCTTCAGACTCATCAGCATAGCACGTTGTTAGTCACTGCTGACTAGAGGAAACCAGATTACAGGCTCCTTGATGAGCTGCAAGGGTGTATTTACAGAGCGGCTGGGTTGGAAACCACCCACTGATCCAACTTTTCTAGTCTGCTCTAGCCAGATACAAGGGTTCCTCCGTGAGTCCCTCAGACCTGCTCATTACAGGAGGATCCTGGTCGGAGTGCGAGGCAGAGATGCCTCTGAGAGCCTGGAGACTGCTGACATGACATCTCTGTAGGGCTGGGCAGGGTAGGGCTGGGCAGGCGCCTGGCTTGTCCATCGTCAGCACTGGTAAGGTAGCCAATTCTGGTTAGGGGACTATGACAAGGCTGACTATCCTACACTGGGGTCTCTAGCAAGGTTAAATATCAAAATGAATTGTTCTTCACTTTAGAAACAGACATATGAAGTCACAAAAAGACCAACAGAAAACCTGAATTGTTGTTATATGCTGACTCAGAAGACCTGTAACAACCTCAGCCCAAACTGTGCAAATGTTTCCTAATAATTAAGGTGTTGTATTAGGTAACGTCTTCTGGACTCATTTTCTACCCAATATTAAGATCTAGAATGTGGAAATTCTATTCTATTATGCTGAGGTTTAATGTGGACTAGAAGGCAAGTGTGTGCCAGCGCAGCAGCCCAGCTGGTGGTGAACAAGCCTTGCTGCGTCTGTTCTGGGAAGAGCCTGCAGGGCTGGGCGGGAGTCCAGGTGCTCTTCATAGACTTACCTACCTTTCCTTGAGATAAGGTCTTGTAGTGTAGCCTAGGCTGGCCTCAAATTCACGATCCTCCTGCCCTAGCCTCCTGAGTTACAGGCCTGTGCCACCATGCCCGGCTACTGTTACATGCTTCTAAACTTGGATAAAGTAGCAATGTTCTAATAAAAACCTCTCTGAACAAACAAGGAGAAATTATTTTTCACTAGACACTTAAAATGATTTTGTTCAAAGTCACTTTTAGAGGAAGGATGTTTAAAAAAATATTTTTACATGTATGAGTGTTTCATCTTCATGTATGTATGTGTACCATGTACACGCCTGGTACCTGAGGAAGTCATTGGAGGGCATCAGTTATGAACTGCCATGTGGGTGCTGGGGATTGAACCCTGGCCCTCTGCAGGAGCAGCCAGGGCTCTCCACTGCTGAAGCAGCTCTTCAGAACAGTCTACTACAGCCCAGGTGGCTGCAGTTACCTAGCATCCTGCCAAATCCTGACCACCCAGCTTCCACTTTTGGAATGTTTGGAATTACAGGCTCGTGTGCCTCTCTGCACCTAACTTTAGGTGGTGCTGGGGATGGAACCATGGTCCAGTATCAAAGCTATTGCTTTTAGATGCTGTACAGGGGAAATACTGTTCTCAAATGCAAGCCTTGGGAGGAAAAACCACAAAAGTGAAGGCCTATACAGACAGCCCTATTAAACGGCTTCATGGAATCACTCTACCTGCCCATTGGACACCAAAGACAGCTAACAACTAAAGGCACGCAAACTCTGGGGAGGAAACTCTGTGCTTAGGTTAACTACAGATGCCCACGCTGTGCTGGGCCCCGGGCCCTTTTGTTCCCTGCGCACAGCTGTGCAGTAAGGCACAGGCAGCGGGTGTGGGGGAGGAGCTGGGGGAGAGAGGATGTAAGAGTGTGGCTCTCCTGCCGTGCCTGGCTCAGGTGCCCGGGATCAGCATGGCTCACTGGGTCACATGCAAATACTGTTGAGAACGTTATACCTTATAGCTTAGACCTGTGTGTGGAGTGTGTCTCTGTGTTTAGGAAATAGCAGGGTGATGCACAGAACCACCCTCTAGAAAAAGATGGGGTGGTCGTGGGCAGGGCTGGGGAGAGGCCTGGACGTTGTTTTAAATACCTGTTATATTGTGCAAAACCGAGGGCTTCTCTGTTATTTTTGTTTTCTTTGACAGAACTGTCCAAGTCATCATAATACAGCCTTTGATGTAAATGCAGTTGAAAACGCAGCAGGGCAGGACCTCAAACCACATAACTATGTGTCTTGGAACAGTGCTCTCTACTGCCTGAGAACAACTACAATGTCTGCTCAAAATGCAGGTTCCCAGGCCACAGCCAAAACTTTGATGCAAATCTGGATTTCACAAATGCTCCAGGAGAATGAAGCCCAACTGTGGAAACCAGTGAGCTGTAGACATCCAGGGAATTGGGAAAGATAATGGCATGTCTGTCTTCGGAGAGAGCTAAACACCCGGCTTCGAAGCTGCTGGCTCTGGCATGAAAAATGAGCCTGCTCCCCACGAAGAAGGCACAGCCAGCCTAGGCTTCCATGTTGGGTCCTCAGTAATCAAAGTTCCACTTAAGAAAATTGTGTCTTCATTAAAAACAAAAACTAGTGGAAATGGGTTTAATCTCCCCTAAAATGGAGAAGTGAAGCAAACATTCCAGGCAGGAATCGTGAAGACCGCGTCTAGGAACACACAGGGCTCCATCTGAGCAGACGGCGCCAGCAACCGCATCCTCCCGCTCCCTGTTTTGGCTGTGCCAACACCACCCAGGGCCTAGGAGTCCTCAGACAGCAGAGAGCTGTGGCGGTGGCTGCGGCTGCTGCTGCTGCTGCGGCTGCGGCTGCTTGGGTGGGGCAAGCTCCAGGAGGGCCTGGACAGTCACCGCAACCTGGCTCAATCCTTTCTCCTCTAAAATGTGCAGAGGCAAACATAATTGCTCCTGAAAGGGGACAAAAGTAACACAAAACAAACAGAAAAGAAAAGAGGATGAACATCACAGAACCGAAAGGAACTTTCACCCCCACCCCGTAACAACCAAGTGAGATCCGAAAGTTCCCGGGAAACCCACCCGCTAAAGGAGGCAGGCGCAGACGGTGTCTCACACTTAGGGGCACTTTATTAACAGTTAAAGGTCCGTACAGATGTCTGGAAAAGCGGAAGACTGACAGGGGACACAGTTACACAGCAGGAGGAACAGCCCAGAGATCAGGGCAGACTTACAGAGCAGGAAACATGGAAAACAGGCCAAGTTACACCAAGTTACGGCTCGAGGAAACCAGCATTCACAGAGGACACTCTGCGAAGAAACTCCCAAACAGCAGGGACACATCACGGTTCCCTGATGACCTTAACTGCAGGAAACGGAGGGACCAGGACCTGTGCCACAGCTCCATTCTGTAAGCCACAGCCCTCAGAGTTAAATGGATTTAAGAAACATTTCTCTACTTTGGGTAATTTGTAGAAGGGTAAACCTAAATTAGTTGAAAATCAGATTCTAAAAATTGTATTTTAGCTGGGTGTGTTTGATCCTAGGACTTAGGAGGCAGAGCCAGGCAGGTCTCTTCGAGTTCAAGGCTAGCCTGGGCTACAAAGTGAGATCTTGTCTTAAAAACTGTACTTGAAAGGTGGGTGGTGGCACATGCCTTTAATCCAAGCACTTGGGAGACGGAGGCTGGTGGATCTCTGTGCGTTCAAGGCCAGCCTGGGCTACAGAGCAAGTCTGAGGCCAGGGTACACAGAGAAACTGTCTTGAAAAATAAAACAAAAAACAAAACAAAATTATATTAGAAAAAGTAAAGTATTTCATATAGTAAAATCCAGCACATGAAGTCACGCTGGAGAACTATCATGTAAACTTACTCAATCTTAGTAACTGATCCATAAAAGTGACTGTTCCTTTGGGTAGGAAGTTGGATATATCCATCTTGCTACTCTTGTACGAAAAAGGCAAATTTTAGCATAACACTTACTAGTTTTTCTTCTTCTCACCAAAATTTATTTATTTATTTACCTATTTATTTATTTAGAGATAGGTCTCTCTCTGTAACCCTGGCTGTCCTGGAGCATGCTATGTAGATCAGGCTGGCCTTGAACTCAGAGATCCTTTTGTCCCAGCCTCCCAAATGCTTGGATTAAAGGTGTGTGGCACCATGCCGGGTAGAGCTGACTTCTTTGCCTTTAGCTGTAGCTCAGGCTGGCCCACACCCCAGTCTGAGGGTTACAGGAGTGCTCCACTACATGCTGTGCCACTTGATTATCAAAATGGACTGTAATAAAAACACAGCAAGAGCCGGTCGGTGGTGGCACACACCTTTTAAGAGGCAGGTGGATCTCTTCTCTGAGTTGAGGCCAGCCTGGTCTACAGAGTGAGTTCCAGAGCAGTCAGGGCTACACAGAGAAACCAGAAACCCTGTCTCAGAAAAAATTCAAAACAAAAAACCAAACCACAAGAAAATACAGCAAGTATTTGTTTTTGAGGCAGTTATTGATACTTGAGTGTAAGTACTTCCTTTTTTATTTAATGCTGATTTGCTAATAAAACTAGAAGTTCTGAATTAATACTCTGAATAACACTGCAACTACAGAGAAGTTGTATTTAAAATGAATCTGCACCGGCCAATGGTGTCGCACGCCTTTAAGTCCAGTACTGGGGAGACAAAGGCAAACGGATGGATCTCTGAGTTCAAGGCCAGCCTGGTCTACAGAGTGAGTTCCAGGACAGCCAGGGCTACACAGAGAAACCATGTCTTGAAAAACCCAACCAACCAAACAACAACAAAAAGATGAAATCTGTGTGTGGTTTGCTCTGGGTGGGACACTTCCTCCAGGGCCAATTCCCTGTTGTCTGCTCAGCGGTACCCAGGCCCAAGCCAAGGGCGAGTGGCTAGCTAGGTGCGCAGTGGTCTGGACACCACTCAGAGGCGGCACTTCCACATGCACATCAACTCTGTGGATGTTTCCTAGGAACCTACCATTGCTGGTCTAGACCACACACCAGCCTCTGTGGTGGTTTTGTTTGCTGGTTTTTATTTTAAAGACAAGGTTTTGCTATGCAGCCTATCCTGTTTCAGCCTCCTAAGTGCTGGGATCACAAGTGTGTATCACCACCTGGCTTTAAGCCTGACCGTGTGTGTGTGTGTGTGTGTGTGTGTGTGTGTGTGTGTGTACACGTATAAAAGGACCAAACTCTACAGAACTCAGACAATAATCACAGATTCCAAGATGTCTTAAAAGAAGGCAAACCCACACCAGCACCCCTTGGAAAGGCACTGCTGTACAGCACTGAGTCTGTCACCGCGTCAGCATTAGCAGGGACAGTAACAAACGGCCCACTTCAGACAGAAGTGCATGAGGGAAGCGGATGCCCAGGTTAACTACAGCGGGTACTGTGTTCCTGGCAGTCTCTCTTGAGCTGCCGTCCAGTTCTGTCAGTCCAGTGTAGAGACACCATTTGTGAGAACTGCAATCTGAATGCAGCAATGTTGTTCTCGGCCCCAGGTCCTGAAACTGATCTACTAAGCATTCTGAGATGGACCTGCAGTTCTGATACAATCTCCCCAACAGCCTACAAAATACAAATTCACCTATAAAAATGGCTCAAATGTCAGAAATGTCACATTCTAAAAGGATTCTGGCAGTGGATCTGTCACAGGCAGCACCCATGGTAAGCATGGCCAGATCTCAAATGTTGACTCTGGTCATCTGCTCAGTGGCCACAGTCTTAAATGGACACAATGGCTCAGAACAGCAATCGGGGCAACCCCCAGGATCTTTAAACTAAAAATTCAGACCAAACGAAAAACAGTAAGTTTCAATGCCCTGTGCCTTCTAAATGTCCAAATACTGTTAGAATGACAGGCAAGTTAGGATTTCAGGGCAGAGAACTAAGTGACAAGGTATTCCACATTAGAAAGGGTACCAGTAATTTCATGATGAGCAGCTGTTGAAAGGCTCAGACATTCTTTACTTCAAAACTGAAGCTGTAGCATAGTAGAAAAAGATGGACGGAATTCTCTATGGCTCAGGACTGCATTAACAGAAACGCCTCACCTCCACCCCACCCCCACACGCCCATGAGAAACAAGGCCACAGGGCAGGCGGGAAGCCAATGACCAGGAGAGAGAATCTCTGCTGATCTCTGTTAGCCATCGCTGGTGCCTACTGTGGACGCAACGCCCCTCTGCACACATAGGACACGATGCATCTACTCAAGTTAGCACTCTGAGAAAACGTGCTTTTGTCACTAACGACTCTGTACGAGGAACAAACCTTCCCCAAACACAGGAGGGCGGTGGAAGGCACGGGCTGCACAGTCAGCCATAGGGGAAGAGCCGGTAATACAGCACACAGAGAGTTAACATTAAAGCACAGTAAAATGCCACGAAACCCAGAAGCTGCACAGACAAGGAGACAAAGCTGGACTCTTCCGCATGGGCCCCGAGAGAAAGCAGTGTGTCGACAGGTCTTTTAACGCTGAGGTTTAGCTGAAGGATGTCGGAAGGGGAACAGAGAGTGTCCTGTCCAAAGGCCAGCAGGGAAGGAAAACAGAAAAACATAGTCAGTGGAGCAGAAGCAGACACGGACAGAGCTCAGTCAATCACGCCAGCCGCGGTCAGACGCATACCCTGCGGCGGCGGCGGCGGCGGCGGCGGCGGCGGCATTGGCATTCTATCACAAGTAGGAAATGCTGAAAACCCAAACCCTGGCTCTTCTCTGCAGCACAGAGATGACTTTTCTACCGAGCGGCAGAAGGAAGTCTGCTTGTTGGTGGCTAGCCATGAGCATTAAGGGAACCATGGACAGAGCTGGCGTGTGGCGTGAGGCCTGAGAGTGGGGCGCTGAGTAGGGGTGTTCTCACCTCAATTCCCTTCTTCCTTGTTACGGAGGAAGAGTAGGGCACAGAGGGAGGACGCTGACTAGAGAGGAGTAATCGAGAAGCAGGCAAACCACAGAGGCTCCATGGCTGAGGCAAGCCTTGTAATGAGGGAGGTTTACTACAGAGTAAACCATCAGATGAAGCCATCACCCCTAGATCTGGTTCACTACTACACACAACAGAAATGGAGAGAGCATCTAAAGCTACCATTAGTAAAGTATTAGTGGACTCAACCTGGAAATGTTCTTTAACATACACAATAATTCTAGGATATAAGATAGTAGACTCTAATGCAGGTTTTTTTTTCTAAATGCAAAACTTTTAATAAAAGCACAGTAGTAAAAGTGAATATCTATATACTCCCCTATCCCGAGGCTTCTGAGTTTCCCTATTTAATGATTCCTTCATATTTTGAGAGTGAGCTGGGGATGGGCCCTAGGAAGGACTCTCCTATTGCTACATCCCCAGCCCATTTTCCAATAATTTGACTCATTTTTGTTTATCATTTGTCTTTCATTTTATTTTTGTCTGAAACAGCGTCTCATGCTGCCCAGCCTTGTCTCAGACTCACTATAGAGCTGAAGATGACCTTGAACTCCATACCCTACAGCCTGCATTTTCCAAATGGAGGGATTACAGGCATGCTTCACCACACTGGACACAGAGTTCATCTCGCACAACACTTTTTAGTCATACTGAGACGTAACGACCTGTATAGTTATTTTCTACCTGGGCACCAAGTCGACATGCTTAGCCACTACGTTCCCTGGCTCACAGTCTAGTTAGGCCAGAGGAGGTGAGAACAAACAAGACTGGGAATGCCAGCTTGACGCTACCACCTTGTGAATCTGTTCATTATCCTTCCTTCTGTCCAGAAAATGACTAATTTTGACAGAAATAGTAGCAAAACTAGAGCTCATCTTCAACTGGCAGAGAAGTGGGTGGAAGGCAGAGAGGGAAGGAAGAGGTGGCTTGTGTGGATGTCCATTTCCTCTTTCTGGCAGAGGAGCTGAGGGTGTGGTGTGGATGGAAAGAGCCCCAGGCGAACCACCTGGAAAAAGATCAGTTTTGAACTGTACCTTTTCTGTCTCTGTCTCACCTTCGAATAGCTCAGCTCAGGTAGAAGCGGCGGCTGAGCTGTAATGAACTCTCGTAAGCCCTGCTTGGGAAATGCTGACTTACACGCATACTTTAAAGCACAGGGTTTCCTATCTTGCTGACCAAGGGCAGTGACATTCTGAAAGAGTTCCAGGTTCCGGCCTTTACATCTGAGACAAGATGGCTCTGGAGAGCCTGGCAGGCAGCTCTGATGTCTAGAAATGGTGCTGAGGAGGACTCTCAGCAGGCACTGGCACGGCAGAGCCAGCATGTTCCTGCTCTGTGCTTCCCATCTTCTGTACCGACACGAGCCATGCTCTGGTCAGTACATCTGATATGTATGGAACTGGAGCAGGCAGCAGGCTTGCTGACATAAGACAGGAATACCTGAATGCTAATGTGCACATATGGACATTGGGACTTTCACTGTGGAGAAAATACATGCCAGTTCCCTAGAAAATGGGGTAAATGGTAAAATGGTTTCATAAGCTTTTATAAGGTAATGATATAAAAATGAAAAATACTAGTTTGAATCTGTCCCCAAGAATAAAGTAAGTGTACTCAGTAAGGCTAAGGAGCAGGTGTGGAATTCATGCTGGCTAACGAAGGTGCAGGTGGGAACTGGCTTTCTCTTCTACTCTGGAAGGTGTGAAGCTGGAGGTGAAGGGTACTCGCTGCATACATGATGCTGTGGCCTCCTGGCTCTTGGTCAGTAAAAGCAGGACAGTGAACTGGGGCAAAGGCATCACTGGGAAGCTACAGGGGTTAAATGGGGCTTAACTTGGAGCAAAGCTGGGTTTCTGATGGGCCCAGGAGCCAATCCTTAGTTTCTGACAGTTAATCAAGCAGCTGATAGGAAAGGCTGGTGTTTTTCTCTCTAGAGACTAGACAAAACTAAGGTTTAGAGACTGGAGGGTGTGGCTCAGTGGCAGAGCATGCAGGAGGTCACAGCTTCCATCTCCAGCAACAAAGAAAAGAGAAACTGCCAGCCACACCACACCAAGCTGCTAATTTCTTTACACTGTTGCTAAGCACGGTGGCTGCACCACAGTTCCAGCACTGGAATCGGAGGTGGGAGGGAAGCCTGAGCCCCAGAGCTCAAAGACCAACCTGAGTATAAGGCTAGGTCAAAAAGCCCATGTCCAGATCATCCAAAACTCCATGCACCCCTCAAGAGTAAAGCAGTTTTTAACTGCTCTTCAAAAGGGTCACTGAATGAACAGTGAAATAGCAGCTCATAGAAGAACTCACTGTCTTTTCCTAACAGGGCACGTGCTCACACACTGTCTCCACTGTGCTAACTTCCAAAGGATTGCAGCCCAGTGGAAAAATGGGTGGAGCTGTTAAACCTCTAATTTAGTTAACAGGACTACCATCTGAATTAGTTGGTGGTACAGCTATACTCTTTGGGTATTTGATGTTAGCATCTGGGAAATTTGGGTGAATTATACACAAGAACCCTGCTATTCTTGTAACCTTTTGTGAAGTCTGAAATTATTTAATAATACATATATTTAAAATGTATTAAAAGCAAGTATTAAAAAACTAGAGCCAACAGAATTTCCAATCTGAACAGTACTTATGTGAAAATATTCTGCTATGTGTACCTGTACAAAGGTCAGCTAGCGGGGATGCTTAAGAAAATAGGACAATTATTTTTCACTTATTAGTTATAATACAATTATTTAAATCAATACTTAACAGTCTCTCTACAGATCCTTGGTAATAGGGGAAACATGAAAGAATATTGCTGAAGAGAATACTGACAGAGCCTTGTAATAACACATCATGTTAGTAGTGAGCAGCCTCGTTTGCAGCCCTGGTAAGAACATTTATACTTACACACGTGCACACGCGAACACACACACACACACACACACACACACACACACACACACACACACACACGTTACCTGAGGGACGCCGATTTTTCTGCAAGCATCCAGGAAGTTCTCCACATTTCTCCTGCATTTTGCCATTGTTAATTTAGGCTGCAGCAAGACAAGAAAGGGGGATAGCATGTTATGGACAAAGGTCAAACAGGATGCAGCTTTAAAACCAGTCTTGCTGGTAACCTCACACACTTACTGCTGTGCACAGTGGGGCTCATCAAAGTTTCCTTAAAAGGCCAAACAGTGAATGCTAACCTCTATCTCACACAACTGTGGCCACCACTCAGTTCTGCCAGGCGCATGAAGCAACCCCAAGGGTGGGAGTGGGGCTGCATTCAGTAACAGACTGTTTACAGAAACAGGTGCTGGCCTCGGAGAGGAGTTTGCCGCCTTCCAATATCTGCATTTTGCTTTGGTTTAGCAAGGTAAGTGCTAAGAAGGTATTTTATCATTTTGAAACAAAACGCACAAAAGAAAATTAGAGAGATCATCAAGAAAATGTGTCACCTAGTGGTTCACTATTCAGATGCGGCCATAACTAACAGTTCCTTTCTTTTGGTTCAGTACTTTTGGAGGCAGCGTCTCACCACACACCTCTGGCTGGCTTAGGACTCACTCTGTACACCAGGCTGGCCTTGAACTTAGAGAGATCTCTGCCTTCCGAGTGCTGGGACTAAAGGTGTGTGCTACCATGCCTGGTTGTATTTTAAATATTATATTAATTTTATAGGTATGAATGTTTTGTCTGCATGTATATCTCTACATTATGTTCACGAAATAACTGCAGAATCCAGAAGAAGGTGTTGAGTCCTCGGCAGCTGGACTTTTGGACAGGTGTGAGCCGCATGTGGGTGTTGGGAATTGAGCCTGGTACTCTGCAAGAACAGCCAGTGCTCTTAACCCTGGCCCTATCTTTTACATTTAACTCATTAGACACTTTGGAAATTAAAAAAGTCTTATGATGGCTACAAAGCTACTTTACAAAAGGTGAATAGTTAATGCAGGAAATGTGAGCTTTTCTGTAAAGATCTCTAAAGACTAAAAATAAAGAGGCATCCCATATTCTCTCAAAGTTCTGCTTTTCAAACTTTGGTTGTTATGGAATACAATGTAAGAAAAACAGGGATTTCATATTCTAAAATGATGTTCAAGTATTGGGTATGGAAGCCGGATGTTTGCAGGGACTATGACCTACAGATTTTTAAATTAGTAAGTGCGTGGACACTTGTACTATCTTTAGAAAACAAAAGACTTCACTGGTAAAACCTGCGTTTTCTGCAAACATAAACATAATTCCTTGGCATAGGAAGGAACGAAACAGAAGCAGAGAAGAAAGCACTGTGATTTTGATTAGACAGACATGCAGCGGGGCTAGGATTAGCCTCGTCATGAAAGAAAAAGGCAAGCAGTGAGCCGGAAGGAAAGAAACAGCTACCTTCCAGTTCTGATGGGATAACTCCAAGGATCAGGACAGACACAGGAAGCCAGTGCACAGGGAGGGCTCCCGCCCTGGCTAGCTTCCTACCGCTGTCAGACACACCCTGACCACAAGTACCTCGGGGAGGAAAATCTAGTTCATCTTACACTGTACAGTCCGTCATGGGGGGGGGGGGGACGGGGACGGACGACCAAGCAGGAACTCAAGGAGGATGGCAACCCCGAATCAGGACCGAAGCAGAGAGCACGAAGAACTGTTTACACTGGCTTGCTCTCTACCATGGTCTGCTCATCTTGCTTTTCTACACAACCCAGAACCACTTGCCCAGGAGGAGCACTGTCCTCAGCGGCTGGGCCCTTACATCAATCATTAATATTAAATATAAATATAAATACTAATGTTTATAGAAGAACAGACTGACAACGTTGCTATAGGAAGAAAAAAACCATATTTCTGTGCAAAAGCAAGGGTAGAAAGGATAAAGCTAATGCTGCTAATTAAAAACTGATTCAAATGCAATTTCCTACAGCTCATATGAAAATGAAGGATCAAGAGAAGGAGACGTACGGGAGGAGGGAGAGGAGAAGAGAGGAGCACGCAGTGCACACGAGGACTAGTAATAGTAATTTCAAACACATAACTGTGGGGCAGAATGGAAGAACACCTGCTCTCCGAGGTCAGAAATCCCACGTTTCCACCCTCCTCTGGAAACTTCAAAGGAAAGGCTCATCCACCAGTGGGATGCAGGCTGCAGCCTCTCTATCATTCACTCCAGACTGCAGGACTCATTTTCGTCTTAAGAAGCAAATCTTACAGGAACCCACTATCTCCAAAAGTTTCCCCAAAACGTCAAATGGCATGACATAGGATTTTGGGCGGCAAAGTCTAGCCTCTTTTATTTCTATAATGTAAAGCCTATGCTGAATATGAGATCTGAACTGAAAAGAAGAAGAAGATATAAAGAATTAGTTCTGGATATTTAAAATGATCCAAACACTTTTTCAGGCATTGAAAACTTTATTTTTAAGGTAGGTCTCATGTAGCACAGGCTACTTTAAACTTGTTGTATAGACCAGGATGGCCTTGAGCGCCTCATCTTCCTACCTCAAACTCCTAAGTGCTTGGATTACAGGCGTGACCCAGCACGTAACGTTTGTGTACTGTTACAGAGTGTCGATACACACAGTGTGCGGGGCATGTGTGCTGCAGCGCTCATGGAGGTCAGAGGACAACTCCGTGCAGCTGGTTCATTCCTTCCCCTTTAATGTGGACTCCAGGGATCAGACTCCAGTGGCCAGGCTCGTGTGGCAAACTCCACCTATTGAGCCGTGTCCAACCCAAAACTTGATACTTGTTTTTGCTTCTGAGAGGGTCTCACTATACAGCTCTGGCTGGCCTGAACTCACAGAGATCCACCTGCCTCTGCCTCCCAATCCTAGTGCTAGGATTAAAGGCGTGCGACACCACCACCCAGCTAAAAGCACCTTTTTTAAAATACAAGAAAACCCTTTTTAATTATACCTAAAGCATTACTGAGCATACCCAGCAAAGCAAACTCATGTTAAGAAGGTTATATTAAGAGCTGGGAAGACTGCTCAGAAGATCGAGTGGCTATTGCTCTGGCAGATGACCAGAGTGAGCCAGAATTCCTAACACCTATACGGAAGCTCACACCATCTGTGAGTCCAGCTCCAGGGGACCTGACACCCCCTTCTAGACTCTGCTGGAAGAGCAGTCATACATACAGACCATATTCAGATAGACATATACACATAATTAAATAAATAAATCCTAGAAAAAGGAAGATAACTAAAAATGTAAAAAGATAATGTCCATAGGCCCTGATCCAAATTCTAAGAGTTAGTGTACTCCCCAAATTAGTAATGGTGGCAACTGTCTGAGCATATAGATTAATTCTTCCATTTAAAACCAAAGAAGAGACTGGGTGGTGGTGGCGCACGCCTTTAATCCCAGCACTTGGGAGGCAGAAGCAGGAGAATCTCTGAGTTTGAGGCCAGCCTGGTCTATAGGACAGCCAGGGCTACACAGAGAAACCGTATCTTGAAAAACAAAAAACAAACCAACAAACAAACCAAAGAAGAAAAATGAGGTGGTTCAAAAGCAAACATTGCTGGCCAGACCCCTCATTTCCCACTTTAGACAATGATGGATTTCTTTCCTCTGGCCCTTGTTTTCTACCCTTACTCCTCCTATTCTACCACTGTTTTTGCTGTGTAAACTCCCTTTCGATGCATTTCTCTTATGTGTTTGAGTGTTTGCTTATATGGGTACTACTTGAGTGCCTGGTGCCCACAGAGGTCAGAAGGAGACATCAGGTCCCCTTCAACTGGAGTTACGGATGGTTGGGAACCACCACGTGGGTGCTGGGAATCCAACCCTGGTCCCTTGCAAGAGCAGAGTGCTCTGAACCTGGTCAGCCATTCTCCAAGCCTTATACCACTGATTTCTAAAGGTGAATCTAAAATTTCTTCAAACAGCATGATACTGGGCTAAAACCTGCTATTTACAATGTCTGGTTCATAAGGGCTGGACTTTGAAGGAGAATGCTTCTTAGTAATGTATTTCCTGATTCCACAAGAGATAAGACAGTCAATGAACTCAAGAAGTCTGGCAGGACTCTGCCAACAGAGCACCCAGTCTGCAGACACCAATCATAAGCCTGGCTCTAACCTGGAGCCAGGGGTGAGGTCAGGAAACTGCTGACCATAAACGGACAGGAAAGTACAAAGGGCCCTTTCCGCATGCTCCATCTCCACTGCAAACCAGGCTAAGGGCTGGTGGCAGGAGCCTTTCTGTGATGGGCCGGTGTACCAGCCCTCTCTAGGAAGCTCTCACAGGGGGCATTACACCGCTCTGCCTGCTCAACAGTCAACAAGCACTTTTCATATCTCCCCACTATCTGCACTGATACAAACCTCTAACTCCTTGACGTGTTTTAAAGCCTCTAAAACACAGCGTAGGCTTAACTCTTAGCTTCATCTGCTGCCATCTGCATCCACACACTCACCCAGTGTGTGATCTAGTCTCAACAACTGAACAATTCCTTTATTTAAGTTGCTAGCTGGCCAATTCCTTACCTATATTTCATAATGGGATTAGTTCAACTTCTCCTCTAGAAGGCTTCTCTGAATTCTCTAGGCAGAATTAACTGGTCCCTTTTGGTATCTCAACAGCATAGTTTCTTATACACCTCTTACAGCACTCAATACATGCTGTAAAAGATTGATTATGTATCTGCTTTTTCTGTCGTCAGTGAAAACAGGAAAGTGGGGGCTGGGCCCTTGGAATCTGCCTGCATCGCTAGCTTCCAGCACTGTGACTCCACTAACTGAAAAGCATCCTATGAATAGCCAATGCTGCCTGGCACTATAACTTACCACGGCTGGAGATGGGACATGAATGCTTGGGACAGATCGAGGCCGAACATGATTGGCTAAGTGGCAAAGTACAACACCATCAGTTAGAGCCGCTCCAAGATCACAGGGCAGAGATACTTTTAACCGGTACTCAATATGCTGCAAGGACAGGAAACGCCATGCATTAATTGAAGACTAGCATATAGGATATAAAAGCAAGACAATGGAATGTATCTAGTCTAGTTAGAAATCCAGAAAAAAGCTGGTGACATATGCCCATGATCCCAGCATTTAGGATGCTGGGGGAGCGGAATGACTACAGCAAGTTTGAGGTCCATCTGGGGGTGGGGCAACAGTGAGTTCCAGGCTGGTTAGGGCCATAAAGTAAGACCTTGTCTGAAAATAAAAACAACAAAATGAAAACAAAACAAAACAGACTCCAGGAAAAAAGGAAAGAACTTCGATACTCCAGCCCTGTTGTCCTTCTAACTCAGGTCAGTGATTCACAGGGACGAGTGTCTGCATCGCAGCCAGGTGACAGTGGTCGAAAGCACAACAGAAATGACCATCACTTTATGACTTAGGACACCCTAAGTCCTGGCATGGCGGTGTGTGCCTGTGATTACAGACTAGAGAGGAGCAGAGAGGACGACGGAGAGATCAAGGCTGGAGGGACTGAGTGGGACACAGTGGAAACGTGTCTCCACAAACAAAACCATGAAGGCAAACTGGACACTTGTTCAGTTCCAACCCCTCAACACGCACCTATGGTTTGAGAGTGTGCACATGCACAGGAATCCTCTCTCTTTATAGAAAGGGTCTCGCTATGTCGCACAGTCTGGTCTCAAACTGGTGATCCTGTTACCTCAGACTACTGAGTAGTTACATTCGTGGAGCACCATGCCACGCCTGGCTCTTATGCATTATAACTACTTTTCTGAGATTGCCTTTTAACATGATAAAAAACAGAAATGAAAAAAAATGAAAATGAACATGGCTATAAAGTAAGTTTTCAAAATTAAAATTATTCATCTAATTTTCTCAGTAGAAAGTTTAAAGGAATTTCCTCAATAGTGGCATTTCTTTGACACTCATCACAAAATACAGCACACAGTGAACACAATGGACTTATGGTAATGAGAGAAGTGAGCACGTGAACAAAAAGCTATGGACCACAGAGAGGCCATGGCCAAAGTGCGATCCCGAGATACTGTACACACTTTGCGCAGCTGGTCTATTAACTTCAGCTCCTCTTCTCGCTGTCTTGTCACAGGATCTGCGGGATCGGCTGCAGGTGCAGAAGACAGGGGAAGAGCTGCAGCACAACCTAGAAAACGTGAGAGGGAGAGGTCAGCTGCCAGGGCTACCCCTGTCTGCCGAGTTTCCCTGACAACACAGCAGTCTTCTTTTTCCTTTCTTTCTCTTTTTCTTTTCTTTTTTTTTCTTTTTTTTGTTTTTTTTCAAGACAGGGTTTCTCTGTGTAGTTTTAGTGCCTTTCCTGGAACTCACTCTGTAGACCAGGCTGGCCTTGAACTCACAGAGATCTGCCTGGCTCTGCCTCCCCAGTGCTGGGATTAAAGGTGTGTGCCACCCATACAGCATTCTTACTTTCTGGATTGATGGTTTAAAAGCATTTTGAGAGAGATGGTTTAGAGAACTTGCTGATCTTGTAGATATAGACCCAGTTTCACTCCCCAGCACCCATCTGGTGGCTCACAAGCACTTGTAACTCCAGTTTCAGGGAAGTCAATGCCTTATATTCTGACCTTCTTGAGCATGATGGACATTCATACATGCAAGTAAAACACCCCCCCCCCACACACAAAGTAAAATAATAAATTTTTAAAAACAATTACTATTGTAAGAAAGATAACAGAATTATTGAGTAAACTGAAAAGGGTAGTGGGCTGGACAGTGGCTGTGGTGGTTTGACAGAAAATGGCCCCATAGGGAGTGGCACTGTTGGGAGGTGTGGCCTTGGGGGAGGAAGTGTGTCACTGTGAGTGTGGCTTTGAGGTCTCCTATGCCCAAGCTACTCCCAGCGTCACAGTCTACTTCCTGTTGCCTGCAGATCAGCCTGTATCAGCTGCTTCTCCAGCACCATGTCTGCCTGCATGCTGCCATGCTTCCCGCCATGATGATAATAGACTAACCCTCCCAAACTGTAAGCCAGCCCCTCAATCAAATGCTTTCCTTCATAAGAGCTGCCGTGGTCATGGTGTCTCTTCACAGCAATAGAAACCCGAAGACACTAAAGAAACCCTAACTAACACAGCTAAAGTACCACTGCAGTTAGAAATTTCAGATACAGAAATACAATGGCACTTAGTTTGAATTACATCCATTTAAAAATGTTTTCTTTGAAAAATACAGCAGATATGTAAAATTACATAGTCCTAAATAGAGGTCAAAACTTATCCTTACAACATGAAATGGCTAAGTGCTATAAGAGAGATTTGCCAAAGGGTACCAGTATCCTAACCTCAAGGACCATAGATGTATTTTGTCCATTGTAGACAAATTTCTAAACAGTCTTATTAAATAAGAAACACACAGCCAAATACAGAGTTAAAAGCCCAAGAGATCAGAGCACTAGCGAGGAGAAAAGACTACCTTATCTTACCATTCACTGACGTCCTTCCCCTCTGAGACAGACCTTCTCCTGTGTGTCCTGTCTTTATTGCCTTTCTGTTCTGCCTTCTCATTGGCTCTAAACCCAACCATATGACTTCCTCATCACTGCCTGTCTATACAGACCTCCAGGTCTCTATGGTTGGTATTGGGATTAAAAGTTCGTGTCACCACGCTTGGCTGTGTCCTTGACCACACAGAGACTCTGCCTGCTATGTGATTGGATTAAGGGCATGGGCTACCACTGCCTGACTTCTATTTCTGGCTTGCTAATGATCTCTGATCTCCAGGCAAACTTTATTTATAAACATACAAATAAGTCACATTTCAGCACAATTAAAATATCACCATAGCACATTTTTGAGAACTTTCTATAAATTAAACCACACTGTATGTATTCTTTGCATATAGCCTCTTTTGATCAAACTAAAGATATTGATCAGTACTGCACATCTTGATCTATCAGTATTGTTGTATGTATCATTTTCACTACTTGCATGACGTTCCACTGTACAGATACACCAATGTTCATTCCCTTTCTACTGTGAACATTCAATTTGGTGCTATGATAAATAATGCTACTAGAAATGTTTTTGTATCTATCTTTTGTTCTACACATGTGATTATTTCTCAAAATAAAACTGCTAGTAATAGGTATACAAATGTTCAACAGTTTGTCAATGTGAAAGATCTGAGAAAGAGTTCATAATAAGGGGAGGATGTTCTTTAACTGAAAGAGCATTTTATTTGTTCAATCTGTTTTTGGTTTTGGCTTTTGAGACAGGATCTTGCAATGTAGCCAGGGCTAGCCTTAAAATCAATTCTGCCCCAGCCTCTTAAATGCAGGAATTATAGGTATGTACCATCACGCATAGTTGAAACACTATAAAATATATTTTATATGGTACTAAGAAAATTTCTAATCCAAATAAAAAACCCCAAGATGCTCCTAATTTCATGTTAGTGAGGTTACAGACACCTGCAGAGCTAACTCTTGCCAAGACGGTAGCTAGGTGTGCAGCTGAAAAGTGTGTAAGAGTTTTCCCATCATTGTGTAAGGCCACCCACTCTGCCATGCCTTTACAATCACCACCACTCACCTTTGTTAGTTTCTGCCCTAACAGCGGCTCGGAAAAGGAAGCTTTCAGGGCGTTGGGACTGATTTCTCTGGGTAGCAGCAGGAAAAGAATATGCAGGGGAATGATGGACTATATCAGCATGGAAAGCAAGATGAGGTTAATGGAGATGGGAAGCAAATCAAAGATGATGTAAACAATGTCACAAAAGTCTGATAAATAGCACAAAAGGAAAATCAAACAAATATGGCAATGGTATAAAATGATGATTCTATTCATTAGCGAAAAACTCATGTATAAAAGTAAAGCTGCTTATTTATTTTAAAAATTCTATTATTTTTAGTATATCAACATTTAGTATATCAGATGCAGGTTAAAAGTTAATACAATGAACTTAGTCTCTTGCAAACCTATAGCCCTGTTAATTCCTATTCATTTTTTTTCTTACCAAATGGCTAACTAGTAAAAAAGAAATCCTAGTAAGGAGGTGCTTGGGGGTTGACTCAGTTGGTACAGTGCTTGCCTCGCACTCATAAAGCCCTGAGTTTGATCAGCTGGCTCCCCAGCACTATGGAAACCAGGCATGGTGGCAGAGCTAATGCTCTGGGGTTGGAGGAGATGCAGGAGAATCAGACTGTTCCTTATCTTTATACCAACTAACAACCAGCCTGGGTCACATGACATGTTCATCTCTGTTTCTGTGTCTGTCTCCTTCTCACTCTCTCACATACACAAAAATCCTGGTAAAGAATACCTGTGGTGAGCCTGGTAACAGGCACCTGTTGTAATCCCAGTATTTGGGAGGATAAGGCAGGAGAACCATTAGTTCTGGCTAGCTTGGGTTATATAACAAGACTCTGTTTCTCTGTCCTCCACCCCCCTCAAAAAAAACATTAGATACAGCATTTTTGTGTCTATTACCTGTCTCTGTTGTAGGAAAGCTTGAGGTAACTCTGTCATCACTCTGTGGAGAAACAGATAATATCAAGTTACTACCCAAGAAAGGGCAGTTTCCACATTTTAGTAACTTAGGGAATGTAAGAAGCCATGCAACTTCCCTTCAAAACTAAGTCTAGAAATGAAAGTTTGGTGAAATTGATTGATTTTCTTAAAAAGACAAATTTTTTGCTTAGTTATGTTTACATAATGCATTCTCTAAAGATCTAATGACCTCTCCAAACACTGTGGGAAAGGATCATTTTAAGACAAAAACAATTATTGAGAAATATACCAGAAAGAGAAACTTTACTTTTTTTTTTTATTACATTATTCTTTTCATTATTTTATACACCGATCACAGTTTCCCCCTCTCCTCTCCTCCCATTCCCTCCCCCCACCCCCTTCTACCTCTACCCCATCCACTCCTCCTCGGTCTACATTCAGAGAGGGTAAGGCCTCCCATGAGAGTCAAGGAAGCATGGCACATCAAGTTGAGGCAGGACCAATCTCCTCTCTCTGCAACAAGGCTGGGTGAGATAACTAATCCACCATGGGGAATGGGTTCCCAAAAGCCAGCTAAGTGCCAGGGACAGATCCTGATCCCACTGCCAGGGGCCCCACAAACAGACCAAGCTACACAACTGTCACACACATGCAGAGGGCCTAGGTCGGTCCCATGCAGGCTCCCTAGTGACAGGACCAGAGTCACTGAGCTTCCACGAGCTCAGATCAGCTCTCTCTGTGGGTTCTTCTGTAATGACCTTGACCACCCCTTGCCCATATAATCTGTCTTCCCTCTCTTCAATAGGACTTTCTGAGCTTGGTCCAGTGCTTGGCTGTGGATCTCTGCATCTGCTTCCTTCAGTTACTGGATGAAGGCTCTCTGTTGACCATTAGTGTAGTCACCAATCTAATTACAGGAGAAGGCCAGTTCAGGCACCCTCTCTACTATTGCTACGAGTCTTAGCTGGGGTCATCCTTGTGGAAACCTTAATTTCCAATATGGTTTTTTTTTTTTTAATGATTTATTTATGTGCATTGGTGTTTTGCCTGCATGTATGTCTGTGTAAGGGTGTTGGATCCCCTGGAACAAGAGTTACAACAGTTGTGAGCTGCCATGTGGGTGCTAGGAATTGAACCCAGGTCCTCTAGAAGGGCAACCAGTGCTCTTAACTGCTGAACCATCTCTTCAACCTCTCTAATTTAGTTTCTTAAGTACTATTTTTTCTTTAGCGAGTAAGATGCAATTTTCAAAGAAAATGTGATGGTCATTTCTTAATTTCTGATAAAAATATATTTAAGCTGGGCGGTAGTGGTGCACACCTTTAGTCCCAACACTCGGCAGGCAGAGGCAGGTGGATCTCTGTCAGTTTGAGGATTGCCTGGGCTACAGAGTGAGTTTCAGGAAAGGCTCCAAAGCTACACAGAGAAACCCTGTCTCAAAAAACATATATATATATATATGATACTTAATTGCTGGGATGTGGCTTAGTGGTAGGTGGCTTACATAACATGTTCTGGGTTCAACCCACAATACTATACATGCACACATATACACACACATATATAAATGCACACACAGAAAATGATAGATATTTTCTAGAATATTTGAGTACTAACATTTTCCTTTTGGTTTTATATGACAGGATCTCTCCATGTAATTCTGACTTTCTTGGAACTCTACATAGACCAGGCTACCCTCAAACTTATGGAGATCTTCCTGCCTCAGCCTATGGAGTGCTGGGATTAAAGGTGTGTGCTAGCATACCTGGTCAAATCCTAACATTTTCAATTCATTGGCAAAAGTGTAAAAATGGAGCAGTAACTTACTAAGTGGATATAAAGTTTATCTGCAAAAAGGAAACAAAGTTCAGCTAATCAAAACAGAAACGTTCACTTCCTTAACCACTGTGCAGTCCAGCTCCTTGCCACCTCAGATGCCCACAGACCCTTCCGTGGCCAGTACAGTGGTGGTGACAGTAGAACCTGCCTGCTGGCCGCTACGGCTCTGCAGGTGGCCATTACCTACTTGGCAACCAGAGCATTCAACATCAGCCCAAATGAGACATTTGGTGGGAACTGCGTGTCAGTATGGTGACCCTGACAGTGTGGAAGGGGAAGGACGTCCTGGAATTGCAGCTGGGGATGAATCCAAGTTCTAGCTTGTTTTTCCTGTGAGGAATGATGCCAAAGAGCCCACATTGAGCAGGGCCAACAAATCATGGGCAGCAGTGAAGGTCGCTATTGAGAACTCATATGGTGCAACACTGAGGAACACGTCTACATAACCAAAGTGTTTTCCCTCGATGTCTTCAGCACTCAAGCCTAGGCTTTCACAGCTGAAAGTAACAGGTTTGGGTCTGTGAAAGAATGTGCGCAGGGTAGAAACAGCATGTGAAGTCCCACTGCTGTAGGCAGTGCCCTGGAGTCCTCCTCCTCACTGCCTACCTCATCAGCAGGAAGAGGACTGACTCATTCTAGTTACTAGACCATCTAGCCTGGAGGAGGAGGTGCCACAGATACATGGGAGCCTTTTCTCATGTCTGAATTTAGTTAGGTGTGGAAGGGAGACATACTTTTTGGAAAACTTTTTGTTATTGTTGTTGTTTGTTTGGAGACGGTTTCTCTGTGTAAAGAGCCCTGGTTGTCCTGGAACTCCTTCTGGAGATCACGTTGGCCTTGACTTCAAGAGATCTGCCTGCCTCTGCCTCCCAGTGCTAGGATTAAAGGCGTGCACCATGAAAAGCTTTTTATATCTGCTTTATCAAATGTGAAGTTCATCTTGCAACATTCACTATGCACAGAGGAAGAACTATTGAAATGATGGTGTCAATTTTGCTAACTGGGAAATATTCTACTATTGGTTAAATGTTAATGTTCCCAAAGCAGAGCTCTAAGAAGGGGCTAGGGCTTTCAGAGTCAGAACAGAGTTGGTGTTTGGTTTCTTCATTCTTTTACTCAGAGTCAGCCTTACAAAGGGAATCTCTGGTCTGAACATTTGGGCCTGCTAAGGAGGTTGATCATTAGGCTGCGCACTTGGGAAGCAGGACAGGAGATCAGGGAAGTCCTACCACACAAGCATTAAAGGGTCAACCTCCAAAATCTGGCTAGGGCACAACTGATAGTGTTTTCTGTGCTCTGCCACCCACGAGCCAGCTCTTTTCTAAGGAGAAAAGGGCGTTATTTTCACTTATCTTATGTAAAGTGATTTCCAGTCTTGTGTTGGCATTCAGGGTGGCCCTGTTTCTGCACTGTGTATAATAATGCTGACCTATCCTGTGGCCTGGGCAGACTGAACACTGAGGATCAGCTCACACAGTGCATTGCCTCTGAGGATGCTAATAATAAGTCTCCTTGTCTGTCTGGCCTTGTGCTTCTGTGATCCACAAGAGAGCCCTGAAGGAGTGCTGATGGTGTTCTAGGAATCTGTGTGGGGAGGCAGGGTACTGCTCAGGTGCTCTGGGTTTGGGAGAGTGTTTGGACAGCCAGTCTCTGGTCAGCACTCGAGAAAACTAAATGATGCTTCATTTTTTGTTTTTATTCAAGAAATGTATTTGTCAAGATTCTAGATACAAAAATAAAAATAAAAAATGTTTACTAATTAAAGATATTGAAGATACAACAGGGGAGTATAATCAAATAAAAACAACAACAACAACACTTTAGGCCCCGATACCCAATTACATCTAAATCTAAGTTTATGACATGATAACAAGAGATTTCTGAATTAATCATGGCTTTAAAATTACATTGGATCTTAGCTAAGAGCTTGAGAAAAGTGGCCAAGACTTTATTTTTTTCTTTTTTCTTTTTTTGTTTTTCGAGACAGGGTTTCTCTGTGTAGCTTTGGGCCTTTTCTGGATCTCACTCTGTAGCCCAGGGTGGCCTTGAACTCACAGAGATCCACCTGGCTCTGCCTCCCCAGTGCTGGGATCAAAGGCGTGCGCCACCACCGCCAGGCCAAGACTTTAAAACTAAGACATTTATCAGCGTCCATATTTCTCCCTCTCAGGTTTTGTCACTGTCATTAATCTCTTATTTGTAGTTGAAGTTTTGTGAGATGAATTAACCATGATTGAATTTTAACTCTTAGAAATAGTCATACTGTTGAGAATACTCTTTGGACAGATGTCAAAAACACTTTCTGGTAATTATTCCTTACTTTGATGTTCATGGCCTAAGAACTATTTTTTTTCATTCTCTCTGTCTCTCTGTCTCTGTCTCTCTCTGTCTCTCTCTGTCTCTCTCTGTCTCTCTCTCTCTCTCTCTCTGTGTGTGTGTGTGTGTGTGTGTGTGTGTGTGTGTGTGTATTTGTGTGGGATGGAAGATGATTTGTTGGAGTCTGATCTTTCTTTGTACCTCAGGCTGGGAATCAACTCAGGGTATCAGTCTTGGCAGCAAGTGCCATTATCCACTCAACCAGCTCCCTGGCCCAAGAATTTAGATGTGTACAAAATAAACTGTACTTGAGTAAAGACTGGAAGACTGGATTGCATTTCTGGTGAAAGTCATGTTCCTCAAGATAGAAACCAGATTTGGCATGTTGAGAAATAAATGTAAACTTAGGTAAGAAATTGAACTTAAAACAAGAGTAACAGGAACTAGAAAAGGAGACTCACCCTGCAAATGAGCTTTTTCTAAAGAAACAGGCTGGACTGGGGATACGGCTCAACAGGAAAATGCTTGCCACACAAGCAACAGGTGTGAGGCCAGGAGCTTGTATCCCCAGGACCAAGGAAATGCCAAGTGGGCAAGGGAGCCACGTGTACTGCACCCCTAGGGAGGCAGAGAGGAACCCTGGAGCAAGCACTCCAGCTAGACTAGCTCTGTCTGCCAGCTTTGGGTTCAAGCAAGAGCTTTTGCCTCAATAAGTAAGGTGGAAAGCCACAGAGGAAGATTCTAAATGTCAGTCTCTGGTCTCCACGTGCACCCATGTGCATACACCACACACACACACAGACGTGTGGGGAGAAGAGATTAATATGAAATAAGACTATTCAAAGGATATGAGCTAAGAAGAGAGTCTGCTAAACACAGACATTTTCAAGGACCAACAGTACAGAGGAAAACATTAAGTGTTTCCTTGGTCCTTGAAAACAACAGATTGTGGTGGCCTGAACAGGTATGGCCCCACAGACTCCCATGTTTGAGTGCTTGGCCTATAGGGAACAGTGGCACACACTTGTAACCCCAGCACTGTTAAGGCAGAGAGGAAGACCCCTGGGGCCTGCTGAGTGTGGGTGCTGTATGCATCCATGTGTTGGTGTGGGTGTACTGACCCATGAGTATCGCTGTAGAGATCCACATCACAGATTTTCCTGTGCACCATTACAGCTTTGTTTATAAAGTGTTGTGGTTTGCTGTGAACTGGTACCTCCAAGCTCGTGTGCTTGAACACTTAGTCTGAGACGGTGGCACTGTTTTGGGAGGCTGTGAAACTTTTGGGAAGTGGGACCTGGCTGGCTCAGGTAGATGACTAGAGAAAGGCCCTGTTTTCTAGTCCTCTCTTCCTGCCCTATTGCTAAGACACACTCACTGTGGGACCTCCGTCACCACACCTTCCCCATGAGCAAAAGAAAGCCTTCTTCCTAAGTTATCTTTGTCATAGGCGTGGGAAAATCAGCTAACACACAAACACAGGCGGCCCAGAGTCATAACCGCTCATCTGCCCTCTATAGCAGGGGTTCTCAACCTTCCTAAGGCTGTGACCCTTTAGTACGGCTCCCCGCGTTGCCATGACCCCCAACCACACAATTATTTTTGTCGCTACTTTAATGACTCACAATGTAACTATCTGCCATGCAAGCCCTGTGAAGGGTCATTCAAGCCCCCAGGGGTCGAACCCGACAGGTTGAGAACCACTGCTATAGGGCTTTGGGCAACTACACCTGTGCAGAGTGGACTCAGTTCTTCTGTGTGCACATCAGGTGACAGAATTAATTCAACAGTGCGTATTAACCACAGTAAACAACCTCCGGCAACAAGTCAGAGTGGCCTTTCACAGAGCCGGCATGTAAATGACTGATGCCGGCTCTGACCAGCTCTGGCATTGTAAAACTTGCAAAGCCAGGGGAAGCCAGTGCCAATACTCCCCCGACCTTAGGTGCGTTTCAGGAGATCCTCGAGTCTGCCTCGCTGTTACTCCAATGCAATGAAAATGTAAGACCCCCTTGCACACCCCCACCCCCTCCTGGAATTTCCTGGTGCATTAGTGCAACAAGAGATACCTTTAGAGGTGTGAAGGCAGAAGAGTGAGGCAGGGTTGCCACACAGCTTACTTGATCCATCCCTGACAGCGACTACATTTCAAACAAACAAGAGAAGAAACAGAAGCAGCATTTGAGTTAGCAAATGTGAGGCAGGCAAAGCTAAGCGGTCAAATTAGCAGAGGGAAGGTCATCAACAGACTTTTAAACTGTCTACTAAGATACTAACAGGGCTGCCAGAGAAGAGCTGGGAAAACCTGCATCATGTAATCATTTACACAGCAGAATTTTTCCACCTACATAATTCAGAATACTCTCATGATCTCAGATCACATTAATCTATAATCAAGAAGCATTATTCTACTTTTATAGATGTTAGTCATAGAAAATAAAAAGACAAGCAAATGTTTCAGAACTCATGTTTCTCATATAGACATCTTGTAATAAAAAGAGGCATTTCTTAATAAAAATTATTTTGTCTTAAGACATTTATGATTTTAGCAAAATCATAGCTTTGAAACTAATGTGACTTCTATTGTTCTGTGAAAGGGGAAATAAATACATCCAGAGAATTCATTTTTAATGTGGCAAGGCTGGCATAAATCAAAATATTTCTGAATATTAATTCAAGTTCTATTGGGGAAGAAACAGGACACGAGGATTCTGCTTCACATTGTAAAGACGACCCCGCATTTCATCTCTGCATCTGTGAAACTCCAAATGACCAGAATTTCAAGGAGGTAAAGTGTAATCTTACTTTTACTTGACTCCTTTATCTTTTTACAAACTCTTCATGTGTAAGATGTGTAAGATGTGAAGCGTGTGCAGGGGTACCATGATGGAGTCAGAGGACACCTGAGTTTGGATCCTCACCTTCCACTTTTTTTGAGACAGGGTCATCAGCTGCTGCACAATCGGGTTACAGAGCGTGTGTGCATTCACTCTCACTGCAGGGCACAGGGGTTACAGATGCACTACTATGTCCAGCAGTATGTGGCGTCCACACAAGTGCTCTACTCCCTGAGTCTGTCAAGAAGCCCAGGCTGGCCGGCCGGCCAGCAAACCCTGGGGACCCACCTGGACATGGCCCCAGGACTAGAATTACAAGTGTGCACCACCACACCTGGCCTCTTAAAGTGGGCGCTGTATAAAACGCAGGTCTTTACGCAGGCAAGGCAAGTATTTTACCCACTGAGATATCTCCTCATGACCACAGTGCCTCCCCAATCATATAGTGATTTAGGAGTGTTTGGCTTTAATGTATGTGTGTTCACCATATGCCCTATTTATGTGCCTGATGTCTGCTGAAGGTCAGAAGGGCATCAGATCCCTTGGCAGCAGAGTCAGATACAGTGTGAGCCACCGTGTGGGTGCTGGGAACCAAACCCATGAGGTCTGCAAGAGCAGCACATGCTCTTAATTGCTGAACCACCTCTCTGGCCCCCGGACAGCCATTTCAAAGATGGATACTTAAGCAGATCCTTGATGAGTGAGCATGAATCAATCAGGGAGTGTAGGTAGAGAGGAAAGCAGTCCATGCAGAGAGAATAGCATTGCAAAGAGCCAAGGACAGGGCTTTTCACATCTGAGGAACTAAAGCAAAGAAGGAGATTTTGAGCGAGCTCAGAGATAATGATGGAGACAGAGTATCCACAACACACAAGTTTCACTCAGGCTATACTGTAAAATGTAGACTTTAAGAGCAGTATGAACCCTCTGAAGAACAGATCTGAGAAGATCAGAGATAAGGTTTAAAATGTGACTCTTTTTTTTGTTGTTGTTGTTGTTTTTTGAGACAGGGTTTCTCTGTGTGACTTTGTGCCTGTCCTGGATCTCACTGTGTAGACCAGGCTGGCCTCAAACTCACAAAGATCCGCCTGCCTCTGCCTCCCAAGTACTGGGATTAAAGGCGTGCGCCACCACCGCCCAGCTAAAATGTGACTCTTAAAATTTACCCTTTTTCTTCTCTCTCTGAGATAGGGTAGCTGACCTTTGACCTTGAACACCTACATCCTCACTGTCCAGCTTTTGTACAATGTTGGCTGGATACTGGTTATCATACAAAGAAGTGTGAACTTTGCTTTTATTTTGCTATTTGAGTGTTTTTGAGGGCCTTGCCACATAGTTCAAGCATGCCTTGAACTGTTTGCAGCCCAGGATGGACTTGAACTTGAGGTAAACCTCTTGCTCATGCCGAGCCTCCTAAGTGCTGGAAGTACAGGAGTACATTACAACACCTAAAAGTATTTGTTTTCAAGACCATCTAAATCATGAAATCAGGCCTGACCACCGACAGCCAAAATACAAGATTTTATGTTTTGACAATGGCTAAAGGCTATTTTAGATTTCATGCTAAGGGCATTTTGCTATTGTTCTTCTTCCAAATTCTACTTTTCCTTTTACAAAAATATTTGGACACTCAGACTTTTATCACTTACTCTATGTGCTATTAAATCTCCTCTTTGGTTTCCTATCATGCCTTCAGTTTTAGCACGGAGGGCAATCCAGCATGGGTATTTACTACAGGCTTTGCATTAGCCTGATGTAGATTTAAACCCAGCTCTGGATTTACCAGCTCTCAACCTTGATCAAGCCACACCTGGGTAAGGTATTGTCTGTCTCACTAAATCAGTAGCAGTGAGTTTAATCTTAATTTTTAAGGATGTTGTGAGAACTGAGTGAAATAATTGGCATCAGAGACCCTCAGCATTTCCTATATAAATTAGTTTTCACTTCTGGTGGCAGTTAATTTCTGCTAATACTCCAGAGGCTGGTCATCATGGTCACTGTTAAGATAGCCCAGTGAATACATACTTTATCCATCTTAACAGAAATGAAGACTGCAGGATACAAAGAACTTTGAGGACCAATGCAAGTTCTACTGTAAGGACCTTTACACTAAAGCCTGTGATTTGCACTGCACACACAATGGCAGTTTCTAGCACTTAAGATAAGGACTTGCTACAGACATGAAATTTTTACTATAAAATAAAAACCTATAAAAATGATAGCATAAAACATGATGAGAAAAGCAATTTTACAAATGTTAGAATTCTCTTTCAAGACTGACACAAAACACTTGAAATAAAGCCTTCATGTTATATTCACTTTAGGTGGACGAAGCAACAGCCAATGAAGGACAGCAGTACTGAACACTTTTAGTATTCAGTAAACAGTGTTCCAGTTAATGTTGTCCCGAGTTAAAAATGAGCATGGAACAACAACCTTCAAATACAAATACTTCAACTGCAAGCTTATAAATAAAGCCTTTGTCGTCACTTCTGCAACCAGGTTTTTCCAGTGCCAGTGTGCATGTGTGATACTGCATGTGTGATACTTGCATGTGTGATACTGCTTGTATTTGCAAGGGGTTGGGAGGGCATTCTGTAAAAATGAAAACAACAAAAACAAATACATGATAAAATAGGTCGCCACATATAGTGTCATGGAGTGCGGGACTCCATTTAACACACAGGGGTGACTCATGAGCCAAATTAATGATCAACAAGATGCCCTCAGAATCAGAAAAAGCATTTAAAAAACTGATTAAGACATTAAGTCTTGTCATATATAAAGCCAGTAGGGTTCTCAATGCAAATGTTTTCCCTTGAGAAGCACTGGAAAGGTCTATGAGTCAAACTCTAGAAGCCTGGCTAGATTACAAAGTTCATGGAAAGAGCAGTTCTGTTATTTATAAGGCATTTAGTGACGGTGCCCATCATGCTTTATGGTATTTACATCAATGCCGAGTGTAAAGCACAACAGCTAGACACAACATGAACGTCATCATGCACATTCGCTTACCACTAACAAGGCACTATCATCAGTGTGCTGAGACCTTCGGGATGGGAAGGGACACTGGGAAGGTGAAGAAAACGAAGCAATGTCAAAAACAAACGATGTACACAAGTGACACATTTCACAAGTACATACACAGGAAAGCAACATATGAAGGCACGTTTCCAACGATGCTGACACACACAGGACCACATGCATCACCTGTAGTTCACGCACCATCAGTCAGTAGGTTGACTCTGAGTACTGACTTCCTCCTAGAGACCTTAAGCAATGTCAAATGAGACCTCACTGCCTACACACCTGCTAAGCTCAGGCACGGGGATGACTCTGCTCACAGAGAACAATGGGGACTGACACAGCTACAGCATCAAGAATCTGTGGTCGTCTGTAAACCTAAGAGTCGTGATTTCTGGTCTAGGTATCTTTTCATGGCCTTTCTCAGGCAAGTAAGCAAATGCTAGCTGGTGTATTCGCACCAAACACTTGGGGAGTGGGGACAGGAGGATCAAGAATTCAAGGTCATCACCTTACACACTGGCTGGGCTACATGGGACATTATCTCAAACAAAGAAGAAGGAGGAGGAGGAGAAGAAGAAGGAGGAGGAGGAGGAGGAGAAGGAGAAGGAGGAGAAGGAGAAGAAGGAGGAGAAGAAGGAGAAGAAGAGGAGGAGGAAGAAGAAGAAGAGGAAGAAGAAAGAAAGAAAAAAAGGAAAAAGAAAAGAAACAATAGAAATGTTGAAGTAAAAAAATTTTACACATATATGTGTGTGTGTATATATAATGTGTGTGTATGTATGTGTATATATACATACACACACACACACACACACACACACACACATATATATATTAAGCTCATCAAACTTTGGTTGCTAAAAGTTTGTACAATTATCACTCTGTGAAGACAACTGAAAATACACAAGTGATTCTTTAAGGTCTCATGCTACATACAAAGTGTTTATACAGAAGCAAATCAAAACAGTTACCAAGAACTGTACTTCAAAAACCACGTGCTATAAAAAGCTCCAATTAGGTTGACACTTGTTTATTTAGAGTGTGTGTTTGTGTTCCCATGTGCATGTGCCACAGCACACATGTGGAGGTCAGAGGACAACCGTGGGAGTCAGGTGTCATCTTCTAGTCAGTGGGTTCTGGGAATTCGACTCAGACTGTCACCAGGCTTGGCAGAAAGAGCCCTGCTTGCTCAGCCTTCTTGCCTACCTTCCATTAAGTTTTCAAATACTGCACTTTACAAAATCAAATAGAGCAATCATAAATTGAAAAATATTGGAGGTAAAAATGAAAGTCAACTATCCTAAAATACATTCATTTAGTAATCTTCACTTTAGCAGACCAAAATAGGCACAAAAAATTTAAACAGTTAAGCAATTATTGGTAAATATTTATTTGTAATGAAACTGTACAGGCTGATCTGGAACTAACACATATGAGTTCTAACAAGGAAATAAGCACTGAGCTGAAATGCAACAGTCTCTTTGGTTGAGCACCAAAATCATTCACTTGCAAAGAAGGCTGATTCAGGCTGCAGGTGAGGGAGGGGATGTAATCTCTAAGATGGTTGTATATACAGCCCTAACCTAACCTATGTATTCTCATAACCTCCTTCCTTATCCTGTACCTTACTTTCCTTCATAGGTAGACTTTTGTGGAGGGGGAAAAAGACAATTTTGGGGAGCAGGTTGGTTTGAGATGAGGGTTTCTCTATACAGCTCAGGGTAGCCCAGTGTTTACTATGTAGCCAAGGCTAGCCTTGAACTCTTAAGGCCCCTGTCTCTGCCTTCCAGGTGACAGAATTTTGGATATGTGTCACTACACCAGCCAAAAAAGCCTGTTTTTGATCATTTAAACATGATCATGAAAACATGATAATCACATGCTAAACATTTCATTTCCATTGCTAAAATAATGAATTCCAAGAAAGTAATTATCTGGACTTACCTCACCATCTCCAGTATGTTGCTGTTTCTGTGGACTTTGTGATGCTTTCTGCTATAGCCCAGAAAGAAGAGGCTAGTTAGAATCTCAACACTGGAACTTACACATTCCATTTAATTAAATGGTTCACATCCATTTATTTCTTGTATTTACTAGTTAAGAAGATTATACTCCTGTCTTAAATGTTTTAGTTTAAATGAAGAACAGCAATAAAGTATACTATCGCCGGGCGGTGGTGGCGCACGCCTTTAATCCCAGCACTCGGGAGGCAGAGGCAGGAGGATCTTTGTGAGTTCGAGGCCAGCCTGGTCTCCAAAGAGAGTTCTAGGAAAGGCACAAAGCAACACAGAGAAACCCTGTCTCGAAAAAAAAACCAAAAAAAAAAAAAAAAAAAAAAAGTATACTATCATACTTTTATAAGCATAAATAGAAAAAATGAAAAACCTACACATGCACATTGAGAGTATCCTGAATCCTCTCTCATGAACTCATTCACTCAAATGGCTTTACATATTTCTTCCTAACTTTATCTCAGTGCTTTATTCATTGTTCAGTACCCATCAATTTAGAAACTTCTCATATGCTTAATTCACAAAGGGCACAGCACCTGCCACGGTAATATTAAAAGTTTAATGTCGTACATGGGGGCACAGAACAGCTCAGAAAGCACACAGTGACACAGACAGGCACAAGCTCCAACGCTTCCAACTCTCCTTGGCAACGCTGCCAACCAAGTTTAGAGATCACACCTTCTTTTCCTACCAGTCTAACTACTACAGTTACTTTCTATTCCAGTTCCCCTTCTTGTTTCTTCCCAGACTGTTCTGATATGAGAAGATGGATTTTTCATAAAGATCTTTCTTCTCACGGTTTTCTCTTCTCCTGCCTAAGAACTTAAAATTTCTTTCTTCTGCTTACTAGATGAAACTCTTGGGAAATTAGTTTGATCAATCTGAGAGTATGTTTGCCTCCTACTAGCTGTTAAACTTCTACAGAAGGCAAGCTAGCTGAGCTCACAACCGCACCTGAGGTACACTAGTCATTATGGGTTACTGAGGGCCATACAGCAGTCCAGACAGAGGAGGGTCTTTAGAGCTCGCTGGCTTTATTAGAATCCCCACTCTAGTACTAGCTGAGCACCTCAGGCAAACCGCTTTGCTTCATGCAGCTCAAAATTCCAACAATGTCCAACAAAGAGGACAATGATAATTCTTTATTATGAGATTATTGGGAAAATTAAATGAAGACAGAGAAAGAGAGAGACAGAGGCCAGGTGTATTGGCGCACATCTTTAATCCCAGCACTCGGGAGGCAGAGGCAGGCAGATTTCTTGAGTTGGAGGCCAGCCTGGTCTACAGAGCGAGATCCAGGACAGCCCGGGCTACACAGAGAAACCCTGTCTGGAAAAACCCAATAGAAAGCCAACGGGGGAGTGGGAGACAGGGGCAGAGAGACTGCTCCACACCATGTCTGGATGCAGAGCGCATGCAGGAAACTGTGAGTCCACTGTCACCACCACCGTCATCCTCCCCATCTTCCTGTCTTCAGTCCAGTCTAAACTAGCTGCTGCTGTCCTCAAGCGCCACGACGTCAAGTGTGTAAGTCACGGAGGAGCACTGCTAGCTCTAAACCACCCACAGCCTCTCAACCTGGAACCCACAGACCGTTCCTAAGACAACACCTCACGTCCTCCTGAGGTCAGTGCTGAGGACATGCTCTCTAGTTTCTTCTTTGCCTTGATATGAACCAGTGCTTTCATGGCAAGCTGATTCCTTTGACTTCTGTACTCACTGTTCCCTGACAAGACTTCATTAGATTGCACCTTGTAGTTTATTTACCTTTACAGGCCCATCACCAGCACTCCCTGAAGGCCTTCAAATCAGTGAGTGATTTGAAGTAAGTAAGGCTTCAGGAAACCTAGGTTTGTCTTCTGGCCACAATTAACCTACTCTGCGTGGGACCAGTGCTTCATTTCTGTGGAGCTGCAGCTCCTCTGTGAAACACAATCATTCTCATCTTCCCTATTCCAAATATAAAATAAATGGGCATAGAGTCTTGACTATGTTTTAAGTCTTTATTTGGTAACAAGTCAGGTAAAGACTTATGGAAGAGAGCAATGCTCGACAAATCAGGAGAAATAGTGTGTAGTAATAGATGATTTGTGCAAAATCATGACAGGTAAAAGAGTGTGAGCAAACAGACATTTTAACTACCTACATCTCAGAGATAAGGAGGCACAAAAGAAGGCGAGAGGGGCTGGGAGGCGACAGGCCTGGGTGAGATCACTTTTCAGACCTCCACAAACTTGTTTCTAGGAATACTGCGTTTAGCTTTTGTCACTGGACAAATGATTTCCCTAAATTTTGACAGAAACAGTAGGCAGTGGTTCCAGTGAGGAAGAGGACTCCAGTGAGGAGGAGGACCATCATCATTCCAGGATTGAAATAGCCAGGGGTTAGGGTTGGGGTGGGCGTGGGGACAGATGAACACAGGGCTGGAGAGGTGGCACAGGGTTAGGAGCACTGGGTGTCCTTGCAGGGGATCTGGGTGTGGTCCCCAGCAACCACATGGTGGCCTACAACTCTGTTCCACAGGGTCTGAAACCTTCTTACATGCAAGGTCCCCAGGCATACATGCAGTACACACACATACATGCAGGCAACATACACACACAATCAATAAATATAAAGGAAGAATTCATCATGTAAAATAATAAAACAAAAATGCATAGAGCAGTTTCAAAAAATGATCTAAAATTCTAAAACGCCAGAGAGAAACTTTTCTAGGCAAGAATGAATGACTCAGTCAGCAAAAATCTCTGAGTTTTTCTACAGACTCAAACCTACTAAGTTCTAGCGAGCAAAACAGACAGTTCCTGTCTTGAAGTTTGCAAATGAATAGGAGAGACATATTAAATGAACAAAATTATAAGTAGTTAATTACTTATTAAGTATTTATTACTTAATAATTCCAAAGGTGGTTTCAAAATGAAAAAACACACCATACAATCAAAATTTGTTTTCCATAGTGCTCTGACCGCACTACAGATGCTGTAAAACAGCCACAGAAGAAATGGTAATGGGGTGTCCTTGCTGAGCCGTATAAAAACAGGAAGGAAGGAAAGAATCAGAGACCATGAAAGAACGAAGCCTGGGAGCCTCTCAACAAACAGCATTTGCTACAGGAAAGATCTGGAGACATGGCACTGGCACTTTCATGATCTTTTTGTTTTTGTTTTTGTTTTTTATTTTCTGAGACAAGGATTCTCTATATAATAGTCCTAGCTGTCCTGGATCTCACTCTGTGGACCAGGCTGTCTTCAACCACAGGGATCCGCCTGGCTCTGCCTCCCGAGTGCTGGGATTAAAGGTGTGCGCCGCCGCCATCAGGCCACTTTCATGATCTTTACTACACCTGACATGGGGGATCCAGCATAATGGTTTCTACGGGCCTATAACCAGTCATGACTAAGGCTATGGGAGACAGTCACTCTATCTTTAGTTGAGATTCCTTATGAGAGAAACAACTGGTCCTTCAGTTAAGGCAATAATAACAGACAGTTTTGGTAAAATGAATAAACATTTACTTCTCTTAACGTCAAGATTATCTGTCAACAATGGTAACGGACTTACTCTGACAAAGTCCAGGACAGCATCTCTCTGAATCTGCTTGGTCCTTATTTTCTCCTCCTCGTACTGCAGGGCTGCAAGCTGTGCCTCTCTCCGAGTGCACTCGACTGACGGTTCTCTCCTCTGATGAAGCTCCAGGTCTGAATGTGAAAGCTGCAAGAGAGGTTTCATTTGGGACATGCAAGCGAGGATAGGGTCAACATGTCAATAACTTGTATCAATATAAAGAATGCTGCTAACTCAAGTTTTATTTTGCAGAACTAACATTTTAAAAAATTCACTGTTCTTGTATGTATGAAAGCAGGAACTATCATGTACACATGCTATATGAACTAACTGAGAAGACAAATAGATTTAGAGCTATCTGGCAATTAATGGCAGTTTAAATACTATAAAAGAAAACTGGGTTGGCAAGAAAGCTCAGCCAGTAAAGGTGCCTGCCACCAAAACCTAGTGACCTGAGTTCAATTCCAGGAACCCACATGATGGAAGAACCAACTCCCCGAAGTTGTCCTCTTATGTCTACATGCATGCTGTGGCATGTATATGCATAAGCACACGTAGTGCACATGTATACATATACATAATAAATATTAAAAAATTAAAAGAAAGTCATCTTAGGTTAGCAAAATCAAAACTGAAATAACAAAGATAAATCTAATAACTAAGCTAGATGGTGGTGGCATATGCCTTTACTTCTAGCACTTGGGAGGCAGAGGCAGGCACATCTCTGTGAGTTTGAGGCTAGCCTGGTGTCTACAGAGTGAGTGCCAGGACACGCAGGGCTACATAGAGAAACTCTGTCTCGAAAAACCAAACAACAACAACAACAAAATCTAATAGTTAAAAAAACTTACCCGATTGTGACTTGGTGGCAGTGATAAGACAGATGGTGGCTCAACTGGAACCCTAACTCCCCAAAAGGAAAATAAGAACTCATTGACAAGAAGATAAGGAACAAGTGGAATTCTCATTGTCAATCATTCTCTTTTTTTTCTTTTTTTTTTTTTTTCTTTTTTTTAATTATTCTCATTTGTCAATCAGTAGGCAACTTGTTGAGTCAGCATTGAAAGAATAACTGCATTTGGTAAACCAAAGCCCAAGAAACTGTATTAAACCACAGGCCTGCCTGATGTCCCCAACTTGCATATCATCTGATGGTACCACTGATGGCTAGCTAACCACTGTCCATGCCAGCCAATACTGATGATAGCTGCTTAGAGCACTTTTCAAACAGCGTCATTTTTTTATACCACCTAGAGCCATTACCCACTTTCCTACCATCACAAAAACAAGAGATGTGTAACTGAGATCCTTTGATGGACACAGTCATTTCATCCACAGAAACCTGGCCTGCGCAGAACCTGGGGACTATACTTAGAAAGCATCTTAAAGTAACAAAGTAACGATTCTATTGACTTTCATTCTGAAGGAAAAGGTGAGGCCCTATGTGATGCTTAACAAACAGACAGCACTACTCTCCCCGATTGTACACTTTGGTATTTATCTTCTTCCTCAGGCAGGGTTACATTCTTCAAGGCTCTGTAAATCATGTGTTTTGCTGACATCAGTAAGCTGGTAGGCAAACAGAAACAAACTTTCTAAGCTCTCATAGTCTCAACACCTGAAAATGGAATTGTATTTTCTTGCTAGTGCTCAAAATCCAACTCGGGCTCCAACTCTTGAACCTGGTTTTTAGGACTATCACCTCACTTAATGTGCCTACCTTTTCATATGTTAAGGACACAGAGTTCAAGTCTTTTCTAAAGACTCTGTGCCTGTCAGTTTTCATATCAATTTCACACAGGCTAGTCACTTGGGAAGAAGCCATTACTGAGAAAATGCCCCCACAGATTTGCCTACAGACACATCTGTGTGCCACTTCCTTAGTGTTTGATGTGGGAGGGCTCAGCCCACTGGGGATGGTGCCACCCCTAGGGAAGGGGTTCTGGAGTGCATAAGAAAGCAGGCTGAGCAAGCCAGTAAGTATCCCAACTCCATGGCTTCTGTTCCAGGTCCTACCTCCAGGTCCCTACCTGATTTCCTGCCCTGGCTTACCTCACTGATGGACTATAAACTAAGGTGAAATAAACCCTTCCCTTCTCAAGTTGCTTTCAATTGTGATGTTTTACCACAGCAACAGAAATGCCAAGACAGACTGGAGAGCATCTCAAAAAGGTCTCTTCTCTTAGTTTTTCAAGACAGGGTTTTCCTGTGTAACAGCTATGGCTGTCCTGGAACTCACTCTGTAGACCAGGCTGACCTCGAACTCACAGAGATCCACCTGACTCTGCCTCCTGAGTGCTGGGATTAAAGGTGTGTGCCACCACTGCCTGGCAAAAAAAAGGTGTCTTCTTAAATATTATTTTTATTTAAAGTTGGGTTTTTTCCCCTTAAGAGTTGTATAGCACATTTACTGAGGGATTGATTTTGTGTATGTGTGTGCTTATATACAGATACAGCCGTGTATGGAAATCAGAGGAAAACTTGTGAGAGTCCGTTCTCTCCTCCACTATGTGGATTCCAGGAATTAAATGACATTGTCAGGCTTGGTGGCAAGTGCATTTACCTGCTGAGCCATCGTGTTGACCCAGAACTTCTCCCTTTGATACACTTGTGAAATCAAGTTTTCTCATTTACAAAATAAAGCTCGTATCATTTTTTTCTTTTTACTGTTTTTTTTTTTTTTTTTTTTTTTTTTGAGCTGAGGATCAAACCCAGGGCCTTGCACTTGCTAGGCAAGCGCTCTACCACTGAACTAAATCCCTAACCTGCTTGTATCATTTTTTAATATGATGTCTTTCTGGGACAAACAGAAACAAATACTCACTGAGTTCTTACCATGTACTACTACATATCCACTGTATTAGGAATTTCCCACATACTATGTGTTTCTTGATTATGCCTCACAATAATCTATGAACAAAGAACTACTATAATCCTCAGCTGAAAACAAAGAAATTTCAGCCATAGAAACAGTGACTCTCCCAAGGTGATATAGTCAATAAGTTGTAGAGTTAAACTTAAATCCTGTTATTTGATTTTTATATTCTCAACTACCATGAGATCTATGAGAACTGAAAGGGACTTTGGGTACTGTGCTATATAAGCCATTACTTTTACAACTGAGAAAAATGAGCCCCTTGGGACTTAATGGTAGCTACATATGTCAGATCCTGAACTAGAACCCAAACTTTCTAGTGAGTAGTTTAGAGCTCCTCCTACTCTATCATCCCCACTCAACACAGATGTCTAGAGCTCCTCCTACTCTATCATCCCCACTCAATACAGAGAAGTCTAGAGCTCCTCCTACTCTATCATCCCCACTTAACACAGATGTCTAGAGCTCCTCCTACTCTATCATCCCCACTCAACACAAATTAGAGCTCCTCCTACTCTATCATCCCCACTCAATACAGAGAAGTCTAGAGCTCCTCCTACTCTATCATCCCCACTCAATACAGAGAAGTCT